TTTTCCCCCCCCCCCCCCCCCCCGAGCTGGGAATTCCCTCCAAAAACTGGGAATTCCAACCCCAGACTGGAAATTCCCTCCAAAAACTGGGAATTCCCAACCCACCCAAACTGGGAATTCCCAACCCCCCCCAAACTTGGAATTCCCTCCAAAAACTGGGAATTCCCAACCCACCCCCAAACTGGGAATCCCTCCAAAAACTGGGAATTCCAGCCCTGAACTGGGAATTTTAAATGTCTAAATTGGGAATTTTCTATCCCTAATCTGGGAATTTCTGGTCTTTAAAATGGGAATTCCATCCCCAAACTGGGAATTTCCCATCTCGACTGATCCCTTATCCCACGGAAAATCATCCCGGCCAATTTGGGATCTTCCCACCCCTCAAAACCCAGGAAAACCCAGGGAATCCCAGGAAAAAAACAGGAAATCCCAGGAAAAAGGCAGCAAAAAAGCAGGAGATCCCAGGAAAAACCAAAAAAAATCCCAGAAAATCACAGAAAAAACCCAGGAAAACCCAGGAATTCCCAGGAAACCCCAGGAAACCCCAGGAAATCCCAGGAAATCCCAGGAAAACCCAGGAAATCCCAGGAAAACCCAGGAAATCCCAGGAAAACCCAGGAAATCCCAGGAAAACCCAGGAAATCCCAGGAAAACCCAGGAAATCCCAGGAAAACCCAGGAAATGCCAGGAAAAGCCAGGAAAAACCCAGTAAATCCCAGTAAAAAATCAGGAAAATCCAAAGAAATCCCAGGGAAACCCCAGGAGATCCCAGGAAAACCCCAGGAAATCCCAGGAAAAACCAAAATAAATCCCAGGAAATCCCAGGAAAAAAGCAAGAAAACCCCAGGAAAACAACAGGAAATCCCAGGAAGAAACAGGAAATTCCAGGAAAAACTGGGGAAATCTCGGGAAAAACCAGGAAATCCCAGGAAACCCCAGGAAATCCCAGGAAATCCCAGGAAACCCAGGAAAAAACAAAATAAGTCCCAGGAAATCCCAGGAAAAAACAGGAAATTCTATGAAAAACCGAGGAAATCTCAGGAAAAAGCAGGAAATCCCAGGAAATATCAGGAAAATCCCAGGAAATCCCAGAAAAAAACCCAGAAAATCCCAAGAAAAGCCAAAAAAAATCCCAGGAAATCTCAGGAAAACCCCAGGAAAAACCGGGAAATCCCAGGAAAAATCAGGAAATCCCAGGAAAAAACAAGAAATCCCAGAAAAAAACCCAAAAAATCCCAGAAAACCCCACCCCCTATCAGATTTTCCCGCTAAAATCCGTATTCCCAAATTCCAGAGGGAGAATTCCCGCCGTTCCGGGCTCTCACCGGCGATGACCACGGCGGATTCGGTGTCCGAGCGGCTCCGGGGCTCCAGAATCCGACAGGCCGCGGCATTCCCGGCTCCCGGCCGGAGCAGCACGGAGCTGCCGCCTTTCCCGGAATCCCGAGGCTCCGGAATTCCCGACAGGTTGCGGCCGTTGCCGTCGCTCCAGAGCAGGCGAATGTTGGGAATATTCCGCTCCGAGAGGCAGCGCAGGCGGATCCCGGCTCGCTCCCGGCCCTCCAGGATCAGCAAAGGCTCGTGGAGGTTCCCTGGAAAATCCCGGAGTTCCCGATCGGATGCGGCTGGGAGAGCCTGGGATCGATATTCCTGCATTTTCTGGGATCGATATTCCCGAATTTTCTGGGATTGATAACCCATGAATTCTCTGGGATCGATATTCCTGAATTGTCTGGGATCGATATTCCTGAATTGTCTGGGATCAATATTCCTGAATTGTCTGGGATC